TCTACAATAAGTTGATCTAATATAAGTTGAAAGGTGACTCCAGAAGAGAAGATTGAACCACGTTAAAAACATCGAAAGGAAAGAAGTGTGACTACAAAAGTAACAGTAATATGGACTAAAAGCAAACAATGAGGTACTAAACTTTAAGGGCAGTCTACAGATAAAAACAAAAGTCAGCTCTTTCATATTCCGTTAAAATCAGTAAATATACTGTAATATGATATGTTTTCGTATACGAAAGCAATGTGAATCTGAATGGTAAATAACAGGAAATGAAACTAGCACGTGCATACCGTGGGCACGGCTAACTTGGCAGCAACATATTCAATGTTCTCAGCATATTCATTCACCTTGGCTTTTGAAATCCTATTTTGGGAGACAACATGAAAATGGAACACACATCAGGAAGAAAGCATCTAGTGAATTTTTAAAAAATAGAGATCCAATAAGAACATACACCCTCAAGCAAAATGTTTCAAGCATTAAATCAATCTAAATTAGTTTTTTTAAAAAAAAAAACAGGAAAAACTCACATGACTGTTTATAGAAGTTCAAAACGTTTTCCTCATACAGTAAAGAAAAAAATTGGAGTTATTATAAGTATATATACTGAAGTTATAATCTAAACACATGAAGATAAGAATTCCTTTTATGCCATCCCTGTCCATTGCACAGATAACAAACGCATCAAAACTGTAGAAAATAACTACTTCCACACATGACCAAACGGTCTGTACAAATATTACTAATACTAGCATCATGACTTCCTCCATAGAAGAAGACAAGATAGACTAGTCATACTGTCAGGATGCGATGTTTTTTTCATTATAGGCAGGATATTAGTCCACTGTATAAAAATATATCTAAAATACGTGCAATGAGGAGGAGGGTAAGTGGAGTTGAGATCAAATGAGGGTGATTTTCCATCTAATCGACCATGATAAGAGGTTTCCAATTTATTACTTATGTAACAGGTAAAGTGAAATGTCTAGGAAGCATACGTTTAAATTTAATTGATATTCCAATCAAACGAACAGGAGGCAGGGACTTTATAAAGAACAGTCACATCGTTATGGAAACCAAAAGCCTGGAAATTTTGTAGCAACATGTTATTTTCTTCAAATTAACTAATTGAAAAAGAATAAAGCATACAAACCTTGGTAATCCATCAGGATTCCTCTCTTTAGCCAACTGCTCCAGCAGTTCCCTCAAAGTGGCAACATACTGTGAAAGATGTACCAAAAGAAAAAAGTAAATGCATATTCCCATTGAAAGAAAAATTATCAGATGAAAAAAACTGTACAGTTCCCAACATAAGCAATTGCAATGCCATGATTTCTGAAAAGCTTTTCATAGACACAACATATACCGCAATTTGTGGCTGTGCGCACAGAAAATTATCAACTTTCACAAATAAAAACTACGTCAGACATCATATGGAAAAGGCAAAGATCAGCTTCCTGAAATATAGAGGCTTCACCAGAGGCATTAAAAACCAGTTGATGCATGATTGTTCAGAAGATTAGGGAAGACAAGGAGGTATTACTATGACTCTTTATCTCTCATCCTCCATGACTAGAAATATTCAGTAGGTGGACGAGCCATCCTGAGCCCTGTTGGTCTTAGATATGGTGATATTGCAGCACTACTAATCTTAATCACCATGTCGAGATCAGAAAAATATTATTGCTCCAAGAAACATATTGACAGGTAAATAAGTTGAAGGCATGCAAGTGGGGTACAACACTGTACACAAAATTTGTATTGCAAAGCAAAAAGATGTACCTTAAGAACACAAAGTTTAAGGATTAAAAATTTAAAATCATCTAATCATGAATATAATATCTTAATTAATATGTATCCAAAAAACCAGCACAATCGAATTAATGAGCTGATAAATTTACCATGTTTACGACAAGTCTCGCATAATGCAAACCCCGAGCAGGAAAGAATGAAAAGAAAAATAAGCAAACGCAACTATCAATTCTCTATAAAGAGTTGAACTTGAATGACCTGTGCATACATGTATAAGCTTTGCTTGATTTTGTTGTTGTGGTGCAGTTACAAGTAACCTCTTCAAGTTCACCTCGGTTTTTCTCATCCCATGACACCCTCTAGGGTACTTTCTGTCAATAGCTGATCAAGGAAATCAAGCCTTTCTAAACCCGTTTGTAATCTAGCAGAACTGTACAAAAGTATGCAAATTTTCTACTCCTCACATCAGATTATGTTTCTTCTTTATTTTAGAATAACCATCTAGCTCTACCATGCACTTCTAGCATCTTCACACTATAAAATTACGAAATAATGAAGTGTACGTAGTCTTAATTTAAACGTTCATTTTTCCTACTTCAATTGCTAAATAATCACAAATATCCAAAATATTTGTAATTAAAAACAAATTAATAATTAAAGATGATTAACGGAGTGATCAACTTCTCTACATAATGAATGCACCATAATCCAATCAAACAAAAAGGCCCACTTGAAGTCTTGAACTCATAGTAAAACCAACTCACGAACTAGTCAATGTATAGGATCCAATCACATAGAGAAACAGAAACCTAAAGAAAAGGTTTATTTTTATAGTTACCAGTGAAAATCTGGGTATCCACTTAATTTGATGCAGATTCCATATCAACTTTCTCTTTTTTCGTTAAGAGGGTTTTTGGATTTCCTAAAGGATTTGTCCTTGTTCACTGCCAAATCCATGTTTTTCAAGAAGAAAGAAATAGAAAGTAGAATGAGAGCTTACAACTTTGTTTCTGAATCTGTATTAAACATCTTCTTTTCTGAAGCTTTGGTATGTAAAAGGTTCCTCGTGAAGTTGAAACGCATAAATGAATTTGACTACAAGCTAGGGAAACTATGTATAAACTCAAAGTCTTATCGAAGAATAACAACCAATTTTTAAAGATAGTCTCTCTTCTCCTCTTATCCTTCCCCTTTTTTGGGTAGAAAAATTAGTTTGTAGTACAACTGACAATATGACTGACACAAAAAATAAAAGAAAAAAATACTTTTACGTACAACCAATAAAGCAACAATATTTGTTAAGAAGAAACACTAACTCTACATTCAATTCTTTTGCTTTATGTTTATCTGAAACTTTCAGAATCTAGTGCTCGTCTACTGCCAAAGACCAGAACAATTCAGCAGAGACCAAAAAGCATGGGTAGAGTTGCCCAGTATCACGTACTGGGAGATAACAGGTATCCGATGAAAGAGAAAACTGACAGGCACCACCATTATATTAAAAAAAACAGTATGTTCATCAGAGGCAATAGCTTCTATGATCAGATGAAAGGTTTCATTTCTTTTTTCATCATAGGCAACAATAAAACAGTTCTTGCATCATTTTTTTGGTTATCAAAAAAAAAATGTTCTTTGATTTATTTATATAACAATGCATTGTGTGCTTGATTCAGTTGAAAGTCATTAATAGAGTAATTAATATATAATGACCTGCATAAAATAAGCTCTTTTCTCCGTGATCTCTAAAATTAGTAAGTTATACCACCTTAAGTAACATGTATCACCTATATAGAAATATCCACTTCAGTTTAGTCCTTAAATCACTGTACAAGGATATACGAACCTTAGATTATCAGTACAAGAAAATAAAGTTGAATTGGGATTATGGCTTTTACTTTTTCTTCTGTGAGTTTACTGTAAAGATACTTACAGAGGATCGCCGGTAGCTTGGGTCTAGCCGGAACCGGACTGCCGAGCGGATGAAGGACGATCTCGCCGGAGCTGGACTCGGGGTTTATTGCAGGAAAATAAGATGAAATAAAACAAATATATAACAGTAGAAACATTTCCACATAATTTTGAGAAGAAGAAAAAAAGAAACGTATTTCATATTTCATTTACGTAAAAGAATATTATTATTATTATTAATAATAATAATATTTTTAGAGTAATTTTCCTAGATAGTCTCACCCATGTTTGGGAAATTACTTAGAAATATCACTTATGTTTATTTTAGGACTATAATATCATCCAATTTTGTCTATTTTCATCAAAAAATAAATAATGTGACATGGCATCCTAGTAGGTAAAAGATAATGTATTTATGTGTTAAGTATAGTTTGAGGAAAATAGGTAAAATTGGGTAATATTGCAGTTCTAAAACAAACATACGTGATATTCCTAGGTAATTTCCCAAACGTAGGTGACTATCTAGAAAAATTACTCTTGTTATTATTATTATTAGGGAAAATGCACAATTACCCTCTCAACTTATGCCCAAAATTTCAAAGACACACTTATACTATACAAAGTCCTATTACGTACCCCTTTTTGACTTACGTGGCACTATCTTGAAAAAAAAGTCAATTAGCGTTGGACCCACAAGATAGTGCCACGTAGGCCAAAAAGGGGTAGCAAATTATTAATAAAATAAATTCAGGGGATAATAAGAGCTTTGTATAATATAAATGTGTCTGTGAGATTTCGAACATAGATTGAGGGATGCATATGCATTATCCCTTTATCCCTTATTATTATTATTATTATTATTATTTTCATTCGTTGATAGTATCCACATCTAATATGAGTTTGTGCCGTGTATGTCCCAATAGAGGGAAGTGCTTTAATAAGTTTTTTCATACCTTAAATTTGAACCTAGGAAAAAATAACTCCATCCATTGCATTCTGTCCATTAATGGTGATGGTTAAAAAAATGGGCCCGAGTTAATTATTATTATTATTATTATTATTATTATTATTATGGAAAAAGATCAAAATTATTTTTAACTATGCGAAATACAGCACTTATACCCTTCATTATATTTTGGAATAAAAAAATCTTGTTGTTATACTAGGAGACCACAAATACTCTCAAGAGTTAACGCTCCAATTTTTAGTGACATGGCAAGCCACATGAGACTAATCTCTCCACCTAAACTTTGCCAACTAAGATTCACCGTAAAAAAAGTTGACCTTTAGTGGCGACGAAGTCTCCACAAAATCTCAAATATTGCCACTAAAGGTTATGAGTGATTTTTAGTGGCGACTAAGGCTCCAACAATCATTCGTTAGTAAAATCTATTTTTTCAACAAAAAAATCTGATAATTAATTTTTGATTGCAACCTAATTTTCAAAAATTTATAACTTGAGATATCAATATTAAAAACATCCAATATTATTACGAAAAATCATCAAAATTACTTCTCGATTTAAATCTCCTACTATATAATGCATCATTATACATTTTATACATTTACATATGACATAAGAATATTATCTTCAAACTCCTACTTAATCGATATTATTTTTGATATTTTTAAAACAATGAAAAAAAACACAAAATTAGAATTTAATGTTAAAAAAATTTTAGTGACGATTTTCTGGGCTTTTGTGGCGGCTGTTATCGCTGCTAAAGGTCTAGTTCTATTGTAGTTAATCCTAGTTGACAATGCTTAGGTGGACGGATTAGTTCCACGTGCTTTGCCACATCAATAAAAAATTGAGGTGTTAACTCTTGGAGGTATTTATGGTCTCTTAGGATAACAACAGGGGCATTTTGACCCAAAATATAACGAAAGGTATAAGTGGTCTATTTCACATAATTTAGAGACAATTTGTACCCTTTTCCGTTACTATTATTATTATTATTGCTATTCTTTATTATTACTATTAGTATTATATAATTCATGCATATATTAATTTTTCTAATTCATGTATTATATTAATGTAATTTAATATATAATTCATGTATATATTAATTTTTATAAATAATTTAAAATACTTTAGTTACTTTTTCGCCAATTTTTTTGTCTTTGAACTTTACATCTCAAGTCCAATTTCTAAAAGAAATTCATGGATCCAAACTCTTATTCAACTAAATAACAATGAGATCTACCCTAAAAAAATTATATTTTTTTTATAAATTTTATTCACTTTCCCAGGACATTTTATCCATAATCCAAAAAAATTATAGCCTTCATAATAAAATGACAATAATATAAAAAATGACGAAAACAATATTTTCTACAATACCAAAAACAAAATGAGAGATAGAAATATCATTAAATTTCTTAAAAATCAAAAAATTGAACAAAATCAATTTTATTTGACTACCTTAGTAAGGGAATCACCAATTCCTTCTTATTAAGTTCTTAGTGATAAGAAAATTCACCAATTCCTTCTTACTAAGTTCTTAATAATTTATTTGAACTAGTTGAGTTCTGCTAGCATGCATTGGCAAATCCAATGCATACCAATAAGAGTTGTGATAGACTTGTAAGAACTGAATATGAAATCACATTTGTTAGAGAGCGCTTTATCTTCTTGTGGGACTTTCAAGGACAAATGCGGATTTAGTTGGGCCAGAGTGTAGGTACCAAACACCACGTGGACAACCAAAAATGAAAAACAAGACCCCCAGTTTGGGACTTTATGGCCCGAGTCTCTAGTGAAATACCGAACATCGGGTGGAAAACCAAAAAAATACAATACAATTCAATTCAATACAATAAGACAAGTAACAACCATCCAAACAAGCTGTCTCAATTAGTATTACACCTGATTCCTGATATACATGTTTATACACTAAAGCACAAGCCATTATAGGAAATACATTTCCATCCAACTTTACACAAGTATGATCAAATGGACAAACGTTTCATATATATGCAGGTTCATCCAGAAGTATGTTTATCATCCATACCCCTTTAAAATCCAACTTTCAAAGGGACATTAATTCCCACAACACTGTCACAACAAAAAGTAAAATACGAATTTTTTCTTTTAAAAAAAAAAATAAGAATTACAAACCTACATGAATGCAGAGCAGAGAAACTAACTCTTTGCTCATATTTGTACAAAGAAACCAAAAACTTTAGTAGACTTCCACATTCCATTGCTCTGCCTTCTTCAACTGCTTTTTGTAATTTGCCCAGTTAATACCTTTCAAAACATATGCAAAAATGTTAGGCTTTGACTGATATGTATAATGGATCAAGACATTTATAACGCATTTTAAGTTATATACATTGACGGCTTAACTGTAGTAGGTAGTACTTACTCTACCTTACAGTTTAACTCGACACAGTGCACAAAAGTCGAATTCCTTTACATATGTATGTATGATATAATGAGATATCTGAACTTATGTTACCATCTCTTTCAGCAAGTGAAGTCATAATGTCATCGATTCCCTGCTCCATGCCTTTGAGTCCACACATGTACACAAAGGTGCTGTCTTTTTTGAGTAATGTCCATAGTTCTTCAGCATATTCAGCCATTCTGGTTTGGATGTACATCTTTTCACCTTTCTCGTTAATCTGCTCCCTACTCACAGCAAAGTCTAGTCTGAAGTTTTCCGGGGCCTTCTCCTTCATTTTCTCGAATTCCTGCAACAAGTTATAAATCTTAGTCCTGCATTGTGACATAATACTAAATTTTGTATCCAAGAAGCATTGAGGACTCCAATTACCTCTTTGTAAAGAAGTGAGCTGCTTGTCGGTACGCCCAAGAAAAGCCATGCTAAACCATTGAACTGCATAAAACCAAAACCATGTCATTCGAGGAGGTAATGAATAAAGTGAAAAGAAACTACCAGTCATATAATTAACACGAAACTCAAAGGTGCATAGTCAAAGCTTTGGATTAATGGAGATTGAACTCTCTTTAAAGTGTCGAAATTATTCATCTTTGACACATACATCACATATAGTAGATTCACCATTACATTCATCTGATAAGTTCCAGTTCTGTCCTCATATTGACACGATAAGATAAAATACTAATGATTTCTGGTTTACCTTGTAATCTTCATGCTTCTCAAAGAACATTTTCCACAAGAATCCACGGAAAGGAGCAATTCCTGTTCCAGTGGCCAGCTGCAAGAAGAAAAGATCAAAGTCTAATAATTAACAACTATGCTTAGTCATATTGAAGGGGATCACACAGAAATGCCTAATAGTGATAACAAAGGAGCTAGCGCGGACCATTATAACTGTCGCGTTGGGATCCTTTGGCATGAGCATTTCTTTTCCAACAGGTCCTGTAATCTTAACTTCAGCTCCAGGTTTCAAGTCACCTGAATATTAACATTCCAAAGCAGGTGCAGGGCTCTAAGCATATATTCTTATATTCATTAAGAAATGTTCGGGTCAAGTACATGAGAAAAGATGAAATACACGAGATGATAAGCTAACATTATTTGAAGGTTTAGGGAGTCCTTGATTCTTACATAAGAAGTTCGAGCAGACTCCTTTAACTATTTCCCCTTTGTCATTCGTGTAGACAAGCCTTTTGACACACAGAGATACCTGTATGAAACCTAGCTCTAGTTATTTCATATACTAGACGGAGGATAATAGCTAGCTAACCAACCTATGTTATTGAATTTCAAATAGGGCAACCTTTACTAAGAGGGACGCCGATTCTATGAGATAATGTATGTATACAAACAGGTCAACACCACTCTTTACAGGACAAATTATAGCAACAGGACAACACGTCTTACAGAAAATAATGTTTACATCACTGCATCATGTAGTGTTTTGGATAATATTTGAAGGAATAGGAAGTTTAATAGCTTACGGTTTTGGAGTCTCCAAAGTCACCAAGGGCACTGCTAGCAATGGAGTACAATCTGAGCTTGTGTGGCTTCCCATTACTGTCAACACCATCTGGAATCACTCCGATAGATTGGCCTTCTCTGTATGGGATCTCTCCTGATCAACCCCAACACAAAAACCTCAAATGCTCATCTTACAAAGAGTTTAACTTTTATACACTAGCTGCATAAAATAATCTTTATGCCACCAAGTAACAATTACATGGAAGTGTCAAATATACTCGATACTGTCAGTATATATAAGTTAAGTTCATTTAACAAATCACTAAATTAAATGAACTACTCCCTCCATTTCAATTTGAAGGAATATTGATTGTATTGAAGTATTAACCTAAGGGAATACATGGGAGATATATATAGGAGATAGGAAGGAGTACTAATCCTAATAGGACTAGGATTAAGGAGTACTAATCCTAATAGGACTAGGATTAGTACATAGTAAATACTAATATTATTTAATACTATATGTTATTATCGCTGAGCTGAGCGGAAGCGAACGGAAGCTTGGAACTGAGGTAATCGTGCAGTCGGCTCGGGAGAGGCTTGGTGAGAATATCAGCCGGTTGTTCTTCAGTGGGTACATACTGCACAGTCATGGTGCCGGCCTAATTTCTATGCCAAGTCAAAGCCAGACAAACAAGTTCCATACCCTCAGTGGAAAAGACCATGTGCCAAGTTTCTCCAGGGGCATCATCTCCAGTGATCTTAGTGTTGAGAAGGCATCTGCCAATATAAGGATCCTTTGGCCTGAACTTGTTTACAACTACACCTTCATCCTGTTTCTTCGATACCTTCGCAACCTTTGCAGGTATTTCCGTTGTGAGTTGGGCTCTAATGTGAAACACTTTTCTACTAACTGATACATTTCTGTTGCATAAAAGAACCTGTTCAAACAAATATAGCTTGTGTACACTCAGAGTGTAGCTTTTTGAATTATTATTTTACACTATGAAGTATAAGTCACTAGAAAAGTAAATAAAATTGTAGTAAGTGAACTGCTTAGTAATCTTTTACAACATCTTAAGTGAAAATTCTTTTATATTCGTGTGACGATCATCACCGAGAAAAAAGGAAAAGAAAATGAAATTTACCTTGTTGAAAGTGATATTTTCAGGGGAAATGAAGATGGTTTTGATTGAAAGAGAAGTTGAATTAGAGGATTGTAGAGAGACTGAAGCACTTAATGCAGCAGCCATATTGGTTATGATGCTGAGAAATAGTAGAATAAATTGAGAGTGGTGAACAATAGAACCTTTTTTGGGGGAGTGAGGTTGTTAAGAAGAAAATTAGGTGAAAGGTAGGGAATTAGGATCCTTCTAGAGAGATGAGTTGATTTTGGAATTAATGTGTGGAGGAGATTGGAAGATCAAGATGCGAGGATAAAGAAAAATGCATAAAAAGTTATCTATAGGTCACGTGTTTGAGCTATTGAAGCAATCACTAATGTTATTTGTATTAAGGTAGACTGTCTATATCACACTCCTTGAGGTGCGATCCTTCTCCAAATATTATTATTATTGAATATTTTGTACACCAAATTACCTTTTATGACAAAAAAATAAAACAAATGCGACTTTAATTTTTAAATGTTCATTAAAGTTAACAAATAAGAGATCCATACAAGAATAATAACAGTTTGGTTCTTTTCTTTTTGTCGCCACTTCATTCTTCCAATAATTTTTTGTAACAAAATCTACATATTTTGGAAGTACTATAAGTGTAATAGTTATAATTCAAAATATTTTAAGAGGTTGTTAGTCAAATAAAACTTGGTTGATGTCCTAAATTGTCATAGAGTCACATAAAGTGCAAAAAAGAGATGATTTTATTCAAGATTATGGGCTGCCATTTTGAGATTTTTAATTTGATATCTATTATATGCACATAATTAGGGGCACACTAGCATTTTTCCAACTGATGAAACGTTGGATAAAATGCTCACTGACATTTAGTAAGCTTCAAGAAGTTTTTACCGATACAAAAGGCATAATATATATGTCTTTTAATTCGGTTTTGAATTACATTTATGCCCTTTAATTTTGAGTGTGCACAAGTAGACACTTAAACTTGTATAAAGTTGAACAAATAGACACACATGTCCTACATGTCCTACATGTCCTACGTGGTGTCCTGCGTGTATTGTGTCATGTAGGACTCATGCGTTTATTTATTTAAAATTTGGATAGTTAAAGCGTCTGTTTGTGCATTATGAAAGTTGGAGGTCAAAGTTAAAATTTGAAGAAAAAGTCAAGTTCAGCGTCCAATATATGTATTATGCCAATACAAAAAGGGGTGACTCGGTGCATTAAGCTCCCACTATGTGTGGCGTCTGAGGAAGTGCCGGACCATTATTGGGTCTATTTCTGCAGACATATGTTGTATGTTTCCATGACTCGAACATTGTTGGAAGACTACTTACTATATCTTGTCAAAATTGGTGAAAGGACCATTCTAATAAAAAAAAAGTAGAGCAGAAAATGCCTTGAGCAGAATGAAAGAAAAAACTATAAAGCCAATAAAAATGATTATTCATATATTACAAGAGTAACAGATACTTTGCCTTTTCCTACATAGCATATCCCTGAGGTCTTTCTTATACAAGTTTTGATGCAATCAATGGAATCCCCTGGATCCTCCAGACTGGTAGAGTTCCAGCTTGCTTTTGGATTCATGCAACAATGTCTCCGTCTCTTCATCTCGGTTCAAGTGTGCCTGCTTTGATGCCCATTTGAGCACTGAAAGCACCTCGGCTTCAGCAAGCTCTTCGCTATTAGGGACGTGCAATGCAATGTCACATAGGAGAAGCAATGCAGAATTCTGAACTACTTTTTCACCAAAGCAAACAAGTTGAACCAAATGTCCTGCACCTCCAGCGCTTAGTATTGCCTTGCAATGATTCAGGTGAAGGTAGTTCTCATTGCACGAAAATTTCTTGAGGGAAATGGCTGCTTCATTTGAAATCTCTGGTTCTCGTTGATCGAGCAGCTTTACTAATGGGCTAATCATCCTCGTCTCAGTAGCTCGAAAAGTCGTGGCCAAATTCCCAATTGACCGAATGCATGGAACAAGCAGGTTCAAATCTTCTTTCTCAATGATTCTCAACAGTTGATCAACAACAGCTTTGCAAGCAGGTGAATTAGGCTTGAACACTGACTTTCTCAAATCAGGATCTTTCTCCGCCACTGCTGTGATTTCCATTACTGCCATCGCGGAATGATACTGAACATCTTCAGCCCCTTTCTCCAAGAGTACTGCAAAGCAAAGCAGTGCTCTTGAATCAGTAATGCTATGGCAAATAGTTGAATTTCCCTTGGCCAGTTTCCATAAAGCTCTTGCAGCCATTGCCTTCATATAAGCCTTGGTAGTAGGGTCCTCAGATTCTCGCCCTCTATTACTGACCCCTGTAGCATAATGACTCTGCTGATGATATGTCTGGTTTGCATCATTGAACGGAGACGATTGCATATCCGTGGTGGCAGTAACCACATTGTGCATCTGAGTAGGCTTCTTATTTCCTAAAGGATGTGGAATGTGGCTATTATCATCATCCTCATTCAACTTGTGCACTTTACTAGCTGAAAGAACAGCATCAATCGACGTGGATTTGCCAACAATAGCATACTTGCTATGCTCCTGAACCGTCTCAAACGCGAGATGGCTAACAAGTAATCTGATTATGTTATTCTGATGAAAAACATCTTGACATTCAGGATAATGTGCAGCAAGTTCAGAAACTGCCCAAGCCACCACTGCTTGAACTTTCATTAGACCTTCTTTAAGGATTTTCACTAACACTAAACACACCCCAGCGTTCACCATGTGTTCAACACTTACAGGGTCACATCCTAGCAATCCAATTGCCTTTGCAGCATTCTCCTGACCCTCCAATTTCCCTTCCTTCAACAATTTCAACAGTGGCCCTACTCCACCTTCTTCGATGATCAATTTTCTGTTCCGGTCATTATCTCTAGCCAATGAAACCAAAGATGCAGCAGCATCAGATCGATCATTAACCGAACCAGTACACAAAATCGCTATATGCTCCCAAATAAAACACAATATAGGCTCATTAGTAACAATAGGAGGAAGTCCTAAATACCTATCAGCACCCTCGTCAGCTGAGGCAGATACACGAAGGAGCCACGACACATTACTAATAGAATTTTCTAACTGTGTAGACAAGTTACGGAAATCTGCAGAAGGTATGATGGTAAATACGCGCTTTACTAGTCCCTGAGTGCAACATTTGATAACAATAGACATAGCTCTTTCCAAAGCTTGTTCAGTATCATCAATAATTCGGCTCATGGGTCGTTGATAGAGCTCGTTGCTGGCTCGTGCTGCTTGACGAAGCAGCACAATCAGCTTCTCAGTCTTGGACTTGAGCTCAGCACATTCATGATTGAATAAAACTGCCTCATCAGCTGCCTGAATCACCTGATCAGCTAATTGAATTGGCTTTGCCAAGATTTGCTTAACTATATCCGCCATCAAAGGGGATTCAACAATTTATATATATATCACAAATTTAAAAAAAAAACAAAAAAACTTACTTTTGCCTTATTTAGAGCAAATTGAACTCTGTTGCATTCATTCAATATATGATTAGGAACTTTTGGTCTTTTTTTTGGCAGTATGGCTAGATGAAAAATTCAAAAATGAAGTTTTTTTAGCCAAATCAAGAATCTTGCCGACAAAAACCAAGAAATGATGAGAAATCAATGAGTAATAATTGATGTAACTTGTGATTTGTCGTACGTACTACTATAGCAAATATCAAATGAAAAAGGAAATGAAAATTTTAAAGGGATATAAATGACGAAGACTTTTGACTTGGGTGTTTTGCAAGACTAATAAATAATAGTAGTACTAAAAAAAAAGTAGATGAACTTCTATTGGACGTTTGGATATGGAAGAGTTAAAGCTTTTGGTGACTTGACTTAAAAAAAAGTGTTTCTTATCCTGATAAAACTTTAAAAAGATATTTTCTTGGTCCCATTTTATTTTATGAGACATCGATTTTGATACGAAATTTAACAAAATATAATAATTAAAATGTATAGTATAAAACGATTATATTATATATATATATGTATAGTTATAAATTATTGTTAATTATAATACGTATAACTCTTGACTAAAATAAAAATATGTAACATAAAATAAGACAAGAAAAATATTATTTATTCTATTATAAATCAGAGAGTCAATTGGCTTTACAAGGTTAAACTCAACGTAAAAAAAATAATCTTAATATACAAGAAAGGACTAATGAGCGAAAAGTCACCGAACTATCTGGTTCGTAACATCTTCGTGGGTATGACCCAACGCTACAAGACAAAAGGCGACGAACATATATTTTACCACAACCTTTCGAGGAACCCTTTATGCTACGATGAAAAATACATTGACTTTAAAAATTATTTTTCAAGTACAAAATAAAAAACATGGGAGATCTATTTTTGAGTGTTGCAGAAGTACCTTTTCTGTTATTGGGAATAAATTAAAATTTTCTGTGTTTTTTTTTAAATAGCAGTAGAAAAATATTTTTTTTTCTTTTATTTATATGTTTATCAATATATCTTATTAATTAATTAACATATATATTTTTTAACATGTCTGGGTAAATTTAATTTAATAATTTTATTTTCTGTTATGCTATAATAAATTTTATATTTTATTTAGGGTTTATGGATTGTTAGTGTATTATTTATTATTTTACGTACTATTTTGCGTAATTAGAAAAAAAAAAGAAAAAGGTAACAACAATTTTGCAAGATTAGAAAAAAGAACAATAAAAGGATTTAACCCTCCAAAAGATATATAACATTAATTGATAAATTTAAATATGAATATTTTAATTTAATTTAACTTTTTTCTAATAATTATTTAAACTAGTTTCTCACTATAAAATAATTTTAATAATAAAAGTACAATAATACCTGTCTTTTTTTATGGTGAGTTGACACTTGACTCTCAAAGTCATTTTAAAAAGATTAGTCAAATACAATTTGCTAATAAAAATATATATCAAATGAATTAGCTAAAAACGAATTACGTTATTTTTTTCAAAAGCATTTCTTTGAAAAGTTGTTTTTAACATGTGCTTATGAAAATAAGTAGTTTTTAGCAGCAATGCCAAACAGACTCTTATTTGAAGTTATTACAACTTATTTTTAGTTATTTTTAACATTGTCAAACATTTTCTAACTTTATTTTAAGTCATTTTGACTAATTTTTATATTTTTTTAAAATACTTTTAGAAGTTAAAAACTGACTTTTCATTTTTGGCAAACTTTTAAACCAATCCAACACCCTCTTAGTCACTTTGATCAATTTTATTATTTTTTTTAAAAATGAAAAATCACTCTTACTTCTGTTTTTTATCCCCAAAATTATCCTGTCTTTTCTCATTAATGTTGTGTTAGTCAAGCGAGATGTTTAATAGGGGTACAAAGAGTAGTTGTAGAAAAATATTATGTGTATATATATAGCTTTAGATAAATATATCAACTTAAGTATCAAAATAATGTAATGTTGTATAATGCATAGATCTGTATGAATGAAATACTTTACATAAATATTAAATAATAAGTATGTTAATATTAAAATGAACATATAAAAATATTAAGAAAAAGTGAAATGAATTAATATTTTTTCCAACTTCACTTTTTTAAGCTCCAAGTAATTGAATTCAGAAAAATAATTCTCTAAAATAATATTGACTAATATTTGTGGTGTTTTCCCTGTTGGTCAAAATAATTAAAAAATTTAAAATTCTAGATGTATATTTATTTATTTATTTTTCATATTTTTCCATTTATTTATTGAAATTATATATTTTTTAAGAAATAAATTACATTAATTAAAAGTCATATTTATAATTATATAAAAGGCAATATTGAAAATTCTAATTCATTATGTCGTCGAAAATTATTGGTAATATGTGTGCATTATCTCACAAATTTACTTGATAATTATTTCTTAATTTGATTTCCCCTTTTACTTGTGTTTTTAACAAATCACCGAACGCGTTTAGAACTTGTGTGCTAATGCTCTATCATTATGATAATTTCACGAATAATGTTATAAAGACTCTATCAATTTTGTGTCTTGTTTTGATCAATAATTTGAACATATCATATTGTTTAGAAGCATAGAGTTGTAGTTCTATTTTAGGAAAAGTAAATCCTAAGTATTCCTATTTCAGTTTGGATTAGGAATTAATTATTTTGTTTATCATCTCCATTATAGCTTCTCTCTATTTCCTCAAGTTTATATTTGAAAAAATTAACACCTGTCATATTTATTATTTAAAGGCCTAGATTAAATTAATTGAATAAGCCTCTTAACCATATTATTAGAGAACAAATTAGGAAAACACTCACCAAACTTTGGTAAGTTTCCACTAGTTTTGACTCCTCATTATATCATCAAGTTAATTATACTTTCCGATTTCTTGTTAATATAATTTTGATTTTATTTAAAATTTAATAAATAAAAATATCCTTAATGATCTGGGCATTTTCCTTTGGGCCGGAAGGACTGTTATGTGGGCGTACAACTCTTCCTAGGTTGTATTCAATCACGAAGATACAAAAATAACTTGAGATAATCTCTAAAAAAATTAGTATTAAGAAAACATTTTAGATCATATTTTCTAAATTAATTTTAACATATACCATTATATATAGTTTTTAATTGTAATCTTGTAATTACCTTTGAAGGGAAAAAAATCTAAAGTATTTTTTATTTAGTAAAAAGATCAATATTTTCCCAATAATACAACTTGCGTCAAAAATGAAAATAAATGGACAGAAAAGAAGATACTGTATAATAGTAATTGTGAAATATTTTAGAATCACAATATTGTTGGCTGACCGGTGAAGCCCACACTTAACGATGTGTTGCCTACTAAAGACTAACTCTCACTTATAGAATAAGAGAATTTATTCCAATTCTTAGTACACGTTTACAGTTACTATACACAAAGTTACAACTTAAATTTACACATTGTAATAATATTTTAAATTCCTTAATAATTTTTTCTTGGTGACTAATTTAAGAAAATTAAACTAGTTTAAATATAATAACTAAACTACCATAATTAGTAGCAAGAACATCAACAAGTTGACTCCGTGGCCCAATGGATAAGGCGCTGGTCTACGAAACCAGAGATTCTGGGTTCGATCCCCAGCGGAGTCGTACCCTTTTTTGGCTAAGAATATTTTATGTCACACATTTTTTTTCTCATGAAAGTGAAACAATTTAAGTTTGATCGAGAACTTATTTATGGGATCTTCAAATTTTTAGAGCGTGAATCATACTTTTTTATTTCATGCAACTTTTTAACAACGAAAATCGGCTATGGATATTCTGTGCTGTATTTATGAGGCGTATTTTATTTTTAGAAGTCAAATATTTTAAGTTTGATTGAGAATTTACTCACGGACTCTTCAAATTTTTAAAATGAAATTTATATATATATATATGTAAACTATGTTAAAAGTACTATAAGTTAGAATAATTGATAATTCAAAATACTTAAAAGATATTTAAAAATTTTACAGTAAAAAATAGACTTATTTGAATCTTGAAATTTAAAATGTGTCAAATGAATTGAAACAGATGAAAGTAATTTTTTGCACTTCAATTATTTTTGTTTGGTACACAACATGCCATAGAGAAATGTCTAATACATTTATTTTCTAAGTGGAAAAAAAAGAGAGTATATAAATATCATATATACTCTAATAATAGTACAATATATTTTAAAGTAGATCAAGTGCTATTGGGATTTCATAGGGGATCCATTCATTTCCATGTAGAAAATTTCGAACAGTAAAATTAGTAACATCATACTCTGAAAGTATTTTTTCCCATTTCACTCTTCTATCCATATTAGCTCCTGGTCCTCTGTTATTATACTCACCAAAATATATATCTTCTGTATTCCCATTCCATTCAACCCAACCTTCTGGATCAATGTAATCATCTAGGTAACTCGAAATCACGATCGCTCGCGAGTGATTCTTCCAAGGCCTTCCCAGGAACACCCGTACCTACATAGCGACAGAGTCAGAAATTTATTAGTAATATATATAAGGGAACTCGAAAAAATGCAATAGCATATATCGGATTTAGTCATGTGACTTGCAATATATTTTGTAGAATCTCCCCTTATGTATATCAAAGGGGGTTTGATAAATAAAACTATGTATAACAAAATGAATATGTTATAACCCTATTGTGCATTATTATAATTAAAAAAATAAATTAATATTTCACTTGAAATACTCCTCCACCAAGTATTTCAATATCTTACTAGAATTCAATATTTGCAAGTAAAAAAGACAAAACTTCAACTCACAAAATGTCAATTTTTGCAAGTGAAATCACAAACAAACACCCCTGACTAAAAATTTAACATCTTAAAATGTTATATTTTAAATGAGACGATCACACAATTTAACTGATATTACCTTAGGTTCTTGCTCGCGCACCTCTTGTGTCACATTTATCGTGCAACCTTGAAGGACAATAGCAGTATCTTCATGTTTACGTTTTCTTCCTTGGGCAATTATTGTCACTTCATTTTGATTATCTTCAGGTTTTCTAACATATATACTACAATTTTGAAGAATGACTTTTGCATTACCAAATATAAAGTCCACCGTACCATACACTTCACAATCTCTGAAAAATTGTACACCTTTTTTTACGTAAAGTGTATCTTGATAACCATCGAACTTGCATCGATAAAACGCAACGTTATCAGCTGAAATACTCATCGCGACCGCTTGATGCATCGATGCTCCAGCAGTATTTTGAATTGTAATGTCTTGTGCTACGAATCCATGGCCATGTATATCTATTTTGAACCAACAGCGAAAAAAATTATTGTATCAGTTTTACCTAAAAAGGATGTATATTTTGGTATACAATTGTGTATATTGTTGGTATACCTAGCTAGCGTCTATAATCAATTCTGATGGATGAGCAAACAAAAAATGAAAAATCCTAGTGTAAAAGAGAAGAATTTTACGTAAACATGTTACTTACCTATAAGATAGTTGTAGAATAACAAGATAGGCAACTTATGGTAAATTAAAATATATGAGTAACGTAAGAGATCTTTAAATTGTAGTAAGTTTTAGAATTTGATTGGACAAAAAAACAATTATTCCAAACGATTGTGTATTTAACTTTTTCAACAAAAAAAAGTAATTAACTTTTTCTTCTTTCTCCATCATTCAACATGAAAGGAAAAGTCTCAAAGTAGACCCTCATCTCTGGTTGAAGACTCAAAGTTATTTTTGAATTTTCACATGGAACATTAATAGTCTCTTATGTTTGTAATATTAATGTACTTTTGGTCCTCCTTCAAAATTTTGCATATTTTTTAACATTAATTTTACTCAAAATTTATGTATAAAATGTTTAATCGTCATTTTATATATTTAGTAGAAATAATAATTTCATGTGAGAGATTGTGAGAAAATAAACACCTTATTTTGTTTAGTTGAAATCGTTTTGCACGTAAAGTCGAGAGGTTCATCCCGACAATTTCACGTACAATAGTACAAATTTCTCTTTTAAGCAGTAAATATTTTTAATTTAGCTGCAGTAATATTTACACGAAACAAAATAAGGTGTTCTTCTTCTCACATTCTCCCACATAGAGTTATCATTTCTATTAAATATATTAAAAGACGATGGGACATTCCTTACATAAAATTATGAACAAAATTAATGTAAAAATAGGCAAAAATTTAGTGGAGGATTAAAAGTGCATCAATATTACAAACATGAGGATTATTAGTGCTCCATGTGAAAATTTAAGGACGACTTTGAATCTTAACCTAAAGATGAGGATCTATTTTGGACATTCTTTCGATAATTATCGACTTTAAAATTGAAAAATATTCTAGGGAATATATAAAATATGTTAGATAACTATTCAATTGTAATATTTGTAATCTTGAAAATAAGACACAAAGATTACTAACCTACAGTAGCAGTCTCATTTGTTTTGAATCCTGTGCCATTGCTTTTACATCCACTAATAATGGTACGGTCCATTCCTTCACCAATAAAGTTTATATTTGTCTTATTTTTATGAACAAAAACATATTCATTATATATCCCTTCTTTAATCTGTATGGTGTATCTCCTATCACTGTTATTTGGAGCAGCTTGCAATGCTTCTGATATGGACACGAAACTTCCACTTCCATCTAGAGCAACTATAGCATCGAAAATCATCGACGACGACGAAGGTGGAGGAGGAAGAGGAAGAGGAAGAGGAAGAGGAGGAGGAGGAGAAGGTTGGCTCTCTAAACCCCAAAATAGTGTTGATAATAAAGCTAATAAACCAAGTGTCATCTCTTTTCTTTGAATATATATATATATATATATATATATATATATATATATATATAGTATGTA